TATATTCCTCTTTATATGTGAAGATATATGTAATATGTACTTACCCAAAAATGTACATGCACACACAATAGGAGGAGAGCGTCAGAATGTATATAACTAAAATTGCAAAAGAAATGAAAATATATAAATTATTTATAGCAGGAGAAAGAAAGATAAAATAGAGAGAGAGAGGGAGTAGAGAGAGAGGGAGAGAGAGAGAGAGAAGAGAGAGAGAAGAGAGAGGGAAGAGAGAGAGAGACAGAGGAGAAAGAGAGCGGTAGAAAAATGGGGTGAGAGTTAGATCAGAAATAAAGCTTAACACCAAATGTTAACGTAACACTCGACTTACCAGCAAAGCATGAAGAACTGCATAGCCTACTTGAATTTATGAGAATCGCGTAGTAGAGCACTGTTATAAATACGTATTATTTTAGATTTGCAGCTAAGCGGACAGCAAGCTTTGACTGCGTTTAGTACATACATACATACATACATACATATATACACACACACATACATACATACATATGTACATACATACACACATACATATGTATATTATTATTGACACACACAAACACAAATATAAAGATAATTAGTTTGACAAGACAAATGTTCACTTCACACACCACCTACAATCAAAGCATGGAGAACTGCAAAGCCTACATGAATTCATGAGAATCGCATATAAGGGCAATCTTTAGAAATACATTTTATGTTAATTTGCAGCGCAGAAGGCATTCAGCTTTGTTTGCGTTTGGCATAAGAGACATTCACACACATATGTACGCATACATATATACATAGTACATACACTCTACATATATACAAACAAAAATTAATAGCCTCATGTGAATCGCATAGTAGGGCGATTTTAGAACATACTTTTTATAATTTGCTGAGGGGAACATTTTCCAAAGATGTGAAACTTCTTTCTTAATGTTTTCGCTTATCCTCTCTTTCTGTCCAACATCCTTGTGTTTTGCAGAGCACATACACATGGTGACTTTGGATAAAACGGGCAAGAAATCATTTGGCATTTGTATTGTACGCGGCGAGGTGAAGGATTCGCCGAACACGAAAACAACTGGCATTTTCATAAAGGGTATTGTGCCCGATAGTCCTGCACATCTCTGTGGTAAACTAAAGGTCTGTAGATGGGGGCTTAAAATAAATTGGATAACAGCGATGCAATTCGCAGGTTGGTGATCGCATCCTTTCGCTGAACGGCAAGGATGTGCGGCACGCAACCGAACAGGCGGTCATTGATCTGATCAAGGATGCGGACTTTAAGATCGAGCTGGAAATCCAGACTTTCGACAAGAGCGAGGAGCCCAACAAAAACGATCCACGCAATGGCTACATGCAGACCAAAAATAAATTCAATCAAGGTAGAATCTGGTCATCTAATATTAATCCAGCTGGACTCACAAGTTTCTCCCAGAGCAAAGTTCCAGCAATACTATGGGCACGGGCACGGTCAGGCAACCGACCGTACGGAACGATCCGAGACGCAATCCGGCGTTTTCGGCCTCAAGGGTCAAGCACGTGCCGATTAACAACGACGATGATGATGAGGATACGCGCGACATGACCGGACGCATTCGCACCGAAGCGGGCTACGAAGTTTGTGCAGCTATATATATGTATATATAAACATCTTTTATAAAAATCGATTCCCTCTTCCCAGATTGACCGCGCATCGGCGGGCAACTGCAAGCTGAACAAGCAGGAAAAGGATCGCGACAAGGAGCAGGAGGATGAGTTTGGCTACACCATGGCCAAGATCAACAAGCGTTATAATATGATGAAGGATCTGCGCCGCATCGAGATCCAGCGGCAGGGCAATGTGCCGCTGGGCATTGCGCTGGCCGGCCACAAGGATAGACAGAAAATGGCCTGCTTTGTGGCTGGCGTCGATCCGAATGGGCTGCTGGCCAGCGTGGATGTGAAGCCGGGCGACGAAATCGTCGAAGTCAATGGCAATGTGCTTAAGAATCGCTGCCACTTGAACGCCTCCGCCGTCTTCAAGAATGTCGACGGGGAGAAGCTCGTGCTGATCACATCGCGCCGCAAGCCCAACGACGAGGGCATGTGCGTCAAGCCCATCAAGAAGTTCCCAGCATCCACGGATGAGGCTAGCTAAACCCAAGCGATCCGCATTCTTTCGCTTAACAACTTCTACTTTAATTGCAGACGAAGTTCATTTTTGACCAGTTCCCCAAGGCGCGCACGGTGCAAGTGCGCAAGGAGGGCTTCCTGGGCATCATGGTCATCTATGGCAAGCATGTCGAGGTGGGCAGCGGCATCTTCGTCTCCGATTTGCGCGAGGGCTCCAATGCAGAGGCGGTAAGTGCTCCGTATCTCCCTTGTCTGTCCCAATAATACACTTGCAAATCCTCTCAGGCGGGCGTCAAAGTTGGAGACATGGTGCTGGCTATTAACCAGGATGTGACGCTGGATTCGAACTACGATGAAGTTAGTCTGACTGGTAGTTATCAAATAGTAAGACTAATATACATTCCTTTAGGCGACAGGACTGCTGAAACGCGCCGAGGGCGTCGTGACCATGATACTGCTCACGCTCAAGAGCGAGGAGGCCATACGCTCCGAACGCGAGGCAGAGGAAAAGAAGAAAGAAGGTAAACATTCAATCGACCTGCCGATCGAAATATTTAATAATTATCTACTTTGTTAATCCACAGAGGCCAAAAAGGAGGAGGAAAAGCCACAGGAACCCTCTATAGCCGAAATAAAGCCAAACAAAAAGATACTCATCGAGGTGAAGGTGGAAAAGAAACCGTTGGGCGTTATAGTGACTGGCGGCAAGAACAACAACGTGAAGGTACGTGTGCACACACACACACATATTCCCTTATTAAACACTAACTCCCTTTACAGACTGGTTGTGTCATTACACACATTTATCCGGAGGGCGCCTTGGCCGCAGACAACCGCCTGAAGATCTTTGATCACATTTGCGATATCAACGGAAAGGCGGTGCACTGCGAGAGCATGACCACGCTTAAGGTGCATCAACTGTTCCACATGACCTACGAGAAGAACGTCAACTTTACGGTTTTCCGCGCCGATCCGCCCGAGCTGGACAAGTTCAATGTGGAATTTATGAAGAAAAGTGGCAAGGAATTGGGTCTTTCGCTGGCGCCCAATGAGTTCGGCTGCACCATCTCCGAAATTGTAAGTAGCTTCATCTGAAGGTGGTTCGTTTCAATTGCTTACAGCCTCACTTTGCAGATGCAAGGACAATATCCGGAAATCGATAGCAAGCTGCAGCGCGGCGACATCATAACCAAACTTAACGGCGACGCGCTGGAGGGGCTCACCTTCCAGGTGTGCTATGCACTTTTTAAGGGCGCCAACGGCAAGATATCGATGGAGGTGACACGGCCAAAGCCCACGCTGCGAACGGAGGCGCCTAAGGCATAAGGCAGAACGAAAATCATCCGTGTTAGAGGCCATGAAATAAAACTATTTTAGAGTCAGTTCTAATTTAATAACATCTGTTGTTCCGTTATTGGGTTTATTTCTTGTTGAATTGGGGAACTGCTTATGCTATAGAGCTTGCATTCGATGCGATACGGGGCCACAGATCAGCGCATTCCTTGGCAACGGGCCCGGTTATGGCCGAGCCCTTCATTTCGCCTTTGTTGTTCACAATGACCCCCGCATTATCTTCAAAGTATATAAAAACACCGTCCCTCCTTCTGAACGGCTTACGCTGCCGTATAACCACGGCGGGCATAACCTAAAAATAAACACGCGTTAACAAATAATTAACAAAACACTCAAAAACAACAGTCAAGCTAAAATGTTAGCATGCTTTGCACGCTTTTTGCACAAAACACAGAAGCAGCGTTGCCAATTGGCTACATTTGGCTATTTTCGGAAATTGTTAGCCGGAAATAGTTTAAATTTTAAGCTGATTTAGCTATTTTCCGGCTTCTCTTGCACCTTCTTCATTGCTAATTCAGCTATTTTGCTACCGGATTTAGCCTTATGCGGAGGCAGTTGGCAACACTGCGCAGGAGCGTGCAAAGCCACATTTTCACATGGATTTGTTTATTTTGCACTCAAGCGATACGAAGCATGTTTCGCACTTTTCACTTAACATTTGCGCAGCAGACACTCACCTTCTTTCTCAACTCGGGCTTGCCCTTCTTGACGGTGGCCACAAACATGTCACCGACGCCAGCAGCAGGCAGACGGTTCAGGCGACCGCGAATACCATGCACAGCAATTACATACAGGTTCTTGGCACCTGGAAAACAAACAAATTCATATATAGCATTTCACAAAATAAAAATCATTTATGTTTGTGTATTACCTGTGTTATCAGCGCAGTTCATAACAGCGCCTACGGGCAAACCTAGCGAGATGCGGAATTTGCCTCCCGCGGTACCACCACGTCCTAATTGACGAAAAACACAAATAATTAGTTAAACACATATATTTGTTTGGACACTTCATTGTCGCATAGTTATTTCGCATTGATTGGCCGTATTTTTCATTATTTATTCGGATTTAATTTGTTGTAAAATACCTCTCTTCGACATTTTGCTGCTTGTTCGGAACCAAAAGGAAGTAAAAAGAAAGAGCTAGTTCGGTTACCGAACCACAGCCAACTTTAAGTAAATCGTAATCGGTACCAGCAGCGTTGCCACTCTGGAGCTAGTTTCAGTTCAGCGCTGCCACCTATTTCAAAATAAACCAGCAGCGGTAATTCGACTGAATATTCGATACATTTTTATATATATTGAATATTGTTTTCTTATTAGCTTTTATTATAATATTATTAATATTAGAAAAAAATATATAATAAATATGGGTTTTATTACATTAGCACTTGACGCCACTTGGTAAAAATTATATTTTTATGCGAAGTTCGCAACCACAATTACTTAAATCCCTTTATAAGATATTTTTATATACTATAAGAAATTAAAATGTTTGTTGTCAAGATATTTGTCACGTGCCATATTGTTGACATTTTGCTTATGCTGTCATCAGCGTACTGAGTTTGTGCCAGCGCAGCCAAGTTCAAGCACGCGCTAATATTCTAATGTGTTGTTCGCAATTTTAAGAGAAGTAGATCTAGAAAATGGACGAACAGGGGCTTTTAAGTTACGTTAAGAAAGTTATACACTCATTAATTGTGTCGACGCCGGACCGTGTAACAGTGGAAAGGCTGAAGCGGGACTATGCCAACGAAGAGGGAACTGCCGTGCCATTCAGAAGGCTTGGCTTCAAAGACATTGAGAGCTTTTTACACACCATACCAGACACGGTTGTGGTAGGTTTTGAATATACAGTCGATAAATGCAATTGTTTAGTTAAGTCTCTTTTATTAGTTAGTAGGACACGGACCGATGGCGCAAGTATGCGCGAGGCGGCACGCCAAGACCGCACACATCCAAAATCTGGTGCAGTGCCAAAGGAGACCAAGCAACAGGTCAAGGAGCCGCAAACCTGCCAAGCCCAATTACTGCTATCCCTCGCAAAGATCCGATCTGGTGTTTGTGAATGAGCAGCCAAATTCGAACAACAAACGAATTAATAATAATAATAACAGCAACAACAACTATAGTAGTCAAAGCGGCGGCAATCGGCAACCTCGTTCTTCCGCACGTTCCAATTCCTCTTATAACTACGTCGATTCCCAAGCTCAAGATCGAGCACCTGTTGTCGCCCAAAAGAATTTGGCAAGGGAGACAAACCGAATGATTAATTCTTTTAAAAACGTAACTATTGCCAACGTTGATGAGGACTCTTCGAGTGAAGAGAACCATTTGGAAATTTATGTTGAGCAAGGCGAAATAGAAGTCAACTCAAATAAGGATAAACAAGCTGTGGCCGACAGCAATCGAAAGCAAAAGCCGAAGGATTGCCACAAGGAATATCTATCATCATCTGATGAGGGCTGCGATGAGGATGCGATTCCAGCGTATGCTGTGGCACGTTAAGATTCAGCTATCATCAAATATTTGTCAATTAAATTATATACATCAATTTTAGGATGAACGAGTATTGAACTACAAATACACGAATGATGCACCTTGCGTCAATCTAGTGAAGATCGAACCGAATGTGACAGCCAACAGTCGGCCAAGTTGGGAAGAGCCATATATTGACTACATCTCCTCGGATGATGGCAGTGAAACGGATGCCATTCCCGTTTTTGCTGTGGTAATAATTTGTTTGTACTCTTAAAGCATTTTTAAATCAACATTTATTGCAGGACGAGCGTGTCATGAGTGTCGAATATCCCAAGGGAGCAGTTCGATTTGATCACCGCTTGCCCAAACGAGCTGTTCATAAGAAATTCAAATTGGACAATCGCATCGAAGTGCAGCTTGTGACGGTAGCTAATACAATAAGTTAATATAATTCAATGATTAGTATCTAATTTCTATGCTTAGGTGGCAAGTCCGCATAACTTTAATTTTTGGCTACACGACGAGGAATACGAAGCTTACAAAAACATGTCGGTGAACATGCAGTAAGTCTTATTATAATGCATAATTGGGCATAGTTGCATTTTCATTATATTACTTACTTGCAGGCGATATTACTCCAATGTAAATGAGATAAAGTACACAATACCATTATACCTAATAATGATTGGCCATTTGGGTGCTCTGCACTTTAGGGGCACACTTTGGCAGCGCGTCGAAGTTCTAAATATTAAGACGGGTAATAGAAAGAATATTGAGGCGAGTACTTAAATTCGTTCCTAAAAATAGGCTTTAATAGTTATTTACCTCGTTTAAAAGGTGGAACTGGTTGATACAGGCGAAAGATTGTGGATCTGCCACAGTGATCTTAAGTATTTGTGCAAAGAGTTTGCCAACCTGCCGCCTCAATACTGGCCCGGCAGACTGGCCTGTGTGACACCCAGGCAGGGCCCAAGCTTTTCGGTGGAGGCCAGCAACTACTTCTTCGATATTGTGTCCTTTCGTAGACTCTATGCGAAAATTGAGAAAATCAACGATGCTGTAGGCTGAACATTTAATATTAGAATGCACCTGCCTTACTCTAATATACCTTTATATTTTACAGGACGATACAATCACCTTGATTCTTGTTGATCCAAATGCCGCAGCGCACACAAAGAACATTAACGTGGCACTCATCGAGTCGGGTTGGGTGCGCCGCTGCTACAAGCCTTAGCGAACGTATATTATATAGATTGTCATGAAGTCTTATCAATTTTAGTTTTTTAATTAGTTAAGTCACAAATGAATTGACTGTGAAACTGTTATTAATTATGATTTTGTTATACTAGTATATAGAATATATTCGTAAATGAAACAACTCGCGTAGTGTTATGTTAAGGCAAACGCTGTCCTTCTGCTTTTCATTTATTTAGTTTACGTATAATAAAATACTAAGTTACATAAATCTTCGAAACAATTTGTTGTCTTTCGCTTGATTTATGTTGGAAAATAAGATCAAACAAAGAGACATAAAGACTACTCAAAAGATCTCGCTCGCAACTAAATAGTATTTGTTGAAACGGAATTGCTGAATTAAAATAATAGTTGTTGCAATAAATACATTATTTTTGTTTAACTGAATCGTTATAACAATTTCCTATAAAAGACAACATTATCTATTAAATGTAGTTCTTCGTTTTGTATATGTTTGTTTGTTTGCTTGTTTGTTTGTATGTATGTTGTGTATATAGTCAATGCTTTATGTATGTTGTTTTTGCTGCTGCTGCTGCTGCTGCTGCTGCTGTGGGTAACCGTTGAAACGACGGCACCCTGAGGTTTTCTTTTTTATATAATTTTTATTTTATATTTTTTTGAGGCTGCTCTACTACGTTGTGTCAGAGTGTGTGTTGGTATTCTTTTCTTTTTTTGTTTTTGTTTTTTTGTTGTAGTGAGTGAGAAACTAATAGTTCAACTACTAATGCATTTCGTTAAAGTTGCTTCTTTTTATAATATTGTATTTTGTTTTTGTTCTTGTCGTGTTTACTCGTATTGCTGAGTGTTGTTTTCATTTTGCAATGCGTATTTAAATATGCTATATAATCGCAATAATACATAATTCTTGGTTTGCTCTTGAGTACATAATATAGCTACGCGCATTTATATTCCATTTGTTTTTATTTTTTGTTGTTGTATGCATAACGTAACGGTTTTCTTTATATCATAAGTTCATGCACGTGTGTGTGTGTGTGTGTGCGTGTATGTTTAACTACAGGTGTATGTGTGTGTCTGGCTGTCTGTCTGTCTGCCTGTCTGTCTGTGTGTGTGTGTGTGTGTGTGAGAGAGTTTTGTTAGTAGTAGGTCCATAGGACTAACATCTATTCACTTCGTAATCGTTACAATATCGTGGGCATAAAACTTATCATGTAGATTTACTACTTATATATGTATGTGTGTGTGTCTGTAACTCAGTGTCTGTGTGTGTGTGTGTGGCCGTGTGTCGTGTCTGTGTGAATGCTTTTAACTGGCTGCTGAATTTTATCGTATAAGTTATTCATGTACTCATTTTTTTTTTAGTTTTTCATTTTTTTTTTTCGATTCTTATATTAAAGTTCATCACAGTTAGCGGAGCTGAAATTATGAATAATTATTGAGGACATTGTTGTGTAATACGTTTACTATCTCTTTTGTTGTTGTTGTTGTTGTTGTTGCTGTTGTCATTTTCTACTAAATCGCAATTGCATATATATGTAGACTACCGTAAATTGATTCATCATTTTGCTGTACTTTTTTTAGGGTTTTTTTTTTGTTTTCTTTTTTTCACTAATTATTATATACGCAAGTGTATGTGTGTGAGTGTGTCCTATGTGTGTGTATTGTGTATTGCTATTTGTTTTTGTTTTTGCTTTTGTTTTTGTTTCTGGGACTGCGAACCGCTACTCAGATGGTTGCTCGATGCACGCCGGATGGGCTAGTTGTGTTGCCTCAGTGTCATGGAGTATTCCCCTCGAATAGAGCCCGAAACTCGCCGCTTCGGGGCCGGGGCAGGCCCTCGCGTATCGTTTGCACCGGCTCAGCAATGCTCGACTCAGACCCATGCAGTAAATTCTCCTTGAGATCCATGTCACTAGAAACGAATGGGAAATCAATGTGAAAGGAAAACTCCTTTAACTCCTTTAAATCTGACACTTACTCATCCTTGCAGTCATCGGCCTCGGCGGCCAATGCATTGACCACCGCCGTAATCGTATTCGATTCTGGATTGCTCAGCTGCTCGTCCTTTTGTTGCATTATATTCGGATTTTTGCCAATCTTGTTTAGCCGCTCGGCAGCCACGGTTTCCATGGTCTTGCGCATCAGCGGATACTGGTCCAGAACGCAATTGAAATGATCCACGCTCAACGAGAATAGATTGCAATAGGTTTCGGCTCGCACGCTGGCCACACGACGCGCATTGGTCAGCAAACAGATCTCACCGAAGTAAGAGCCGTCCGATAGTGAGGTGGCAACCTGTTCAATGGACACAAGGTAACATTTATAATGTGCTTAGGCAACACTGGCGGGCAGGGCTGCAAGTCGAACCGGTTTGACAGTTCTATTTATTTTTTTACTGTGAACCGAATCTTGAACCAAACGTATAGAACAAATACCGAACCGAACCAGATCTGATTAAAAATGGTTCGGTTCAAAACTAAAAACTGTTGAGGAAGTCTATGACGCAGCAAGGTTTCAAACCAGGTTCACGAGCTGTACCTAAAGAACAGACAGTTGGTTCGCTCGGTAAACCGAACCAGTGCCAAATTCGTGGTTCATTTTTGCAGCCCTGCTCGTGTGGTAGATTTAATACACACCTCGCCGTTGGCCATGACAATGTCCACAACGCCCTCCTGTATGAAGTACATCTTTGTACCGATCGTGCCCTCCTTTATGATAATATCACCTAAGCGAAGCAATTAGATATTGTTGGAGCTTATCTTGATAACTCTTTAAGCTGTGCTTACCTGGTTGGAAAACTTCGTATTTCAGTTTGGTAACTACGTCGGAAACAAAATTCGAATCGGCATTAGCAAAAAAAGGCACTGACGCCACGAGGGACCTGCGAAAAGTTTGCAATAATTATACAGTTATGTTTGGGTACAAATATTGGGAATATTTTTGTGGGGATGTTAACCTGCAATTGTAGTTGATGACATCCTCGCGCAGTTTCTCGCTCAACTCGCCAAGTATCAACTCTTCATCGAAGAATTTACCCTGGTACCGATGCTCGAAATATTCCGTGATGCGTTGCCGCATATCGCGCGGCAATTTGCGATAGGCCATATACTCCTCCACCTGTTTGACCTTCTCGCGATACTGCCGCCGGCTGGAGTCCAAGCTCTGTATTAGATTGGTCGCATGACCAAGGAACAATGCATAACATGTGGCGCCCGATATCATCGAGAGCATCGTCAGCCACATGTCCGTCAGTGATTGTGGTGGAAATCTGAAAGGCAATTCAAAGGAATTATCAAATTGATCAAAAAGATTAGCTGTGGTGCTCACCTGCCGTATCCTATGCATAGCATATGTGACATGGCCTTAAATAATGCCCATGAGTATTGCTCCAGCCAATATGATTCCTAGAAATGTCAACATATTAGATTCTTTTCATCCCTTTTATACAGTTATTATCATAGCATAGCGCATAATGTACAACGCATACCTGTAGCTCGTTGATGGATACCCAGGAATTAGATGGAAAACCCTGTAACATTGGCACTAAGAACTGCAGACAACCGCTCCAGTGTCCGATCAGGAGCATCATGCAAATTAAATTGAAGATCCTCATAAAAACCGAGGCCATATTGAGGAACTGCAACCAGAGTTATCAATAAGAGTGCACATCAAACGAAAGGCCAGCACCGCACTGTCTATACATGTGTGTGTGTGTGAGTGTGTGTGTGTGAGTGTGTGTGTGTGTTGTTATAAGTGTGGCATGTGTGTGTGTGTGTGTTACATTTAAAATACGACAAACCAAAGTATCTCAAGTGAAAACCATAGAAACCAAAATCAAAAATTCTTTTCAATTTGGAACTTTTGTGGCTTCATCCAAAGAGCAAACCAAAAACTACGCCAAACCACAGCCAGAAAAGCAACCAATAAAAAATAATTAAAAACAAATAATAATACAAGAATTCCTGTGTATTCTTGTGTGCAGCGCGTCTCTCAGTTGATGCCCAATTCTCAGTCACAGTGGCGCCGAGAAGTATGCAACACTTTGCGAGCCGAGTTCGGAATAAACTGACGAGGCGCGCGCGCACACACACACACACACGCATATATTAGCTGGCTCTATATGTGTATAGATGCAGACAGTAGAAAATCGCTATCAATCAATATACAATTGGGTAGTATAAGAAATAAATATAAGACAAAAAATTAAACATAGTATGTGAGAGTCTAATGTTAGGCAATATACAACAGTGTGTGGCACAACCTGAGAGAGCAATGAATCAAAACCATTTCTACGTAGTTGTTTTTTTTTAGTTTCTTAAATAGTTTTTAGTGCAAATCAGCTGCTATTATGTTACAAGTGCTCATCTTAACTTTTGCTCAGTTTCAAAAATAACTAAATACTTAGCTAAACGAGTGTGTGTGTGTGTCTGTGTGTGTGTGTGTGTGTGTCTGTATGGGTAGTACGTTTAAATATACAGATATTTAATTATGCTCACTAAGCAGTTCAAAGATTCAAATTGTTGAAACTGTTATTTCAAAGTATTCGACAACCAAAAGCGTTTTATTTTTTTTAAACATATTTTTGTTCTCAGTTGTTAGTGCTACGTTTTCTGTACAGAGTTTAGAACAAAAATCAAAGAAAGTAACAAAAATATAAGTAAGAAAACCCATAATGCCATGGACAGAATATAAGAGTACAAATTTGTAGCATTCAAGTTGTTCCGTTGTTTCTGTGAGTAGCTGTGTGTTTGTGTGTGTGTGGGTGTGTGTGTGTAAAATACTTTTACGGGATATGCCAGCTGATCGACTGAACTCTTGGCCATAATTTACACAGACTTACGAAACGAGGAATCGCCACGCGAGTCTTTGCTGAAATCTTTGTACAACAGATAAACAGACGTAGAAGAAGAAGAAGAAACAAAGATAACGCAACGTAAGCCCATAACCAAATCAATTAACAAAACCAAAAGAGAAAACCAATAACAAAAAACAAAAACCAAAACATTTAACATAACATATTCTTAAGTTGGCAACAGTAGCAGAGTTTTATTAGTTAAGGCTGTTGTTGTAGCAAATAGTAGAGTAGAGTAGAGTAGAGTAGAGTAGAGAGTACAGTTAAGTTAAGCGTAGAAGAGAGTAGTAGTAGTAGTATTTTTTGTTGTTTTTGTTGTAGTTGTAGTTGTAGAATAGGAGCAAGAAAGCGCACGGCGCAAATTGGCGCCAAACAAAAGCAAAAGCATTGATTACGATATCAAACGTGTTGTTGTTGTTGTAGTTGTTGTAGTTGTTGTAGCAGCTGAATACGATATTTAATTGATAAAAATTGCTCTAGTATGCGGCAGATGCAGTTAAGCGTTTTTGGCACTCGCCCGCAAATGTATGCTATACAATACGTTCAAGACTTTATGTGTGTGTTTGCAAGTAACTACTAAATATGTATTGTATCAATTATGTAGTACAGTGTTCGTGTTCGTTGTTGTTGTTGTTGTTGTTCAATTAGCATTAAAGTTCGCGGCAATGCACTTGTTGCTGTTTTTCTTGTTGTTCTTGTTGTTGTTGGTGTACTGTGAGCCGAGTGGGTGCAGCATTTTGACAAGCTTACGCAAAAGCAACGGTACAAACAACTCGCCGTAACGGTTCTTTTGTTTTTAGCATTTGCACATGAGAGAGGAGGGGTGAAATTGTGTTGGACAGTTGTTGTTGTTGTTGTTGCTGCGTTATATACAATTCATCAACAGACTACGGTTATGAGATATAGATATTTTTTTCTTTTACTGGCAGACCAATATCGTTTACGTGTTTATCGTAAGTATTTGCCGAGGTGTTAAAGCAAAAAGCATTGAACAAACTGTATAAAAAACCGTTTGGCGTTTTCGATTAAACATGTGTTGTTCGACATTCGCATTCGAATTCGAATTCGCGTTGATTTAATATTGCCATCGATACCTAAATATTGTGTCTAGATGCAATTCACAGGCGTTGTTCAACACTTCACATATACACTGTACTAACTAAAAATAGTTTTGAAAAGAAACGAAATAAAATACTAGTAACTAGAACTAAAACTAAACTTTGGCTAAATAGTTATTGATTGAGACATGCTCATGCATGAAGTCTACTTCTCTAATGGACAGAATACATTCGGAATAACTTATCTAAAGGTAATCCTTGCAAGTTTGCACTCAGGTTAAGTTTTGACTTAAGTTCAGAATGTTTTCAGCTACAGACAGACCAACAAATCGGACTTGTTTATATTCCCTTAAACTCTATATAAAATGATTGACATTGACTTGATATTTCCAAAGAACTTCTACATCAATCCGCACACAGTGAAGTGCATAAAAACCAACTTCGATTTAACCGAAGTTCTCATATTGTTGTGAAATTTCTTTCATATTATTTTTTGTTTTGTTTTTTTTCATTATTAAAACTGGAGGCTTTTTTTTTGTTTTTGATGCGTTAAATCAAGAAAATATGTATGTATATCAATCAATCAATCAATATATGTTTATAAAAAGGCAGTCTTAGAAAATTTACAGAATGCACGAACGAACATTAAAATCAAGCAAACATGATCAACGAACAATCGAACAATCGAACGAACGAACGAACCAACGAAATATGCACTAAAACTCAATTTTGGTTCAATCATATCTCAAAAATGTGAGGTTATGTTGCACCAATAATACATAATTATAATGTCAATCAATCAAGGCTTTTTGTTTTTGTTTATCAAAAATTGAATTTGTTGTTGTTTTTTTTTTTTGACAGTGTTGATTTTTTATTTGATAAAAATTTGAAAGATGTTTTTTGTTGTTTGGGTTTGTTACCTTGAGAATTAGGTTGCTTTTTGTCAAGCCATCTTTGTCTTTTCTGTGCATTCTCCCTCTGCGATCAGCACTTTTTTTCTGTAGATTCTGCAGAATCTAAAACCATATATATACATAGGTATTATAGGCCCTGATTTAGCTAAGTTTTTTGTTTGTTAATTTAAATATTTGTTGTTTTTATTTCTTATTTGTACTTTGTTTTTTTTTTTGTTATTTAGTTTGATTTCGAATAAGCAAATTGTTTTTTTTTTTCTATTATGCGAGCGAGAATTTCATTCATACTTATATTATACATATATATTTGTTTTGTATAAAGTTGACAGTTTTTAAATAAATACATATGTATATAAGCATTAAACAATAAATTCGAGTCCAAGTTAGACAATCTTCAAATTTCTGTTGTACTCTTATAATTTTCTTTTTCATTTATTTGTTTTTTTTTTTTAATTTTTGGGTGACGTTGCGCAAGAAAGTGTTGTGGAGAGAAAGCATTTACCAACACTTGAAAAGGATGTTTGAAATGTTTCTCAGTTGTGGCACTTCGACTCGGAAAAATAAGTCTTCAAAGATTTGTTTTTGTACATAGTGCAATGAAGAATTGGTTTCTTTTTTTTCAGTGCTCAAAAGTCAGCAAGAAATGAAAACCGAAAAGAACACAATTTTCAAAAAAATGGAAGAAATGAAAACCAAATTTAAACAAAGAATTTTGACTTACACAATTAACATGAAAATAGGCAAAAGAAAAGTGAAAAGAAAAAAAACCATTCCCCCCGCGACAGAGCGAAGGTTCAAAGCGTTGCGGGCGATTTGAGGTGGTTGAGGTGGTTTTTGTGAGGTGTACTTGTTGTATTTTTAGGGGGGGTGGGGTGGTGGAGGGGGCCAGCTAGAAGGGGCATAGGGAGTTGGACTTGGACTTGGAGCGCAGCGCAACACAAGTTGTTAAACAAACATTGGCAGATACGTATGTAAAATGTACAAATTTCTTGATGTTGGGCTTTCTTTTTGTACAGCATTGACTTTAGGCACAGATAATGTTGGGGAGAAATTGGACGCATATCAGTACAGATACAGATACAGATACATATAAGGTGGAAACAAAAATGATAGCACAAAGAGAACATTATTCAACTGAAATCAAAGACACAGCCATATAACAAATGAAAATGTATTGCGCGCCCTTAACATATTGTATATTTCTAGATTTGAATATAAACCCTTTGAACTTGCACAAAATGAGAGAAGAGTGAGCACTTTGAACTATATAGACAACTCTGAAAACTGGTTTTTACTGAACTGTACTAAGCCTAAGCCCAGACCTAAGATTTTCTTTGGCTTTTGTGTGGAATGTATTGCAGCAATGAATCGGGTCGAAGATTTGATTGCGAAAGTAAAACTGATTTGATACGAAATAAAACTGAAATCAAACTGAACGCATAATGCACGTAATCGTAATCGAAATCGAAATCGAGTTATATACTTATCAGGTATGATCAAAATATATATAAATAGATATACATATATATATGTTATGCAAAAGAAGAGTTAAGAGTAGTTGGAGAAGCGAAAGCGTATACTTACATAGACCTCCTCCCATTGGGATACGTAGCGCACGAGGCGGGAGAGTCGGAGCAGGCGAACTAGGGAAAGTAATTTAGCTAGACGAAGGATGCGCAGAGCGCGTCCGGCATGCAATATTTGAAAAGAATCAGAAAAATCCTGCAATTTCATAATCTTAATCAAAATGTTGCGTACTGTTTGCCATACAAAAATACATTTAACTTACTTGGTTGAAAATTAAAAATATATAATCTAATGGTATCGACGAAATCAGATCGAGAAAAAACCAGGTTCTTAAATAGTGTTTAGCTATAAGCTTTGGATCCAATATTACTTGTTCAGCGTTGTCTTGTTGCATAATTCCTACAAATGGATCGATCGATTAGTAAACCATTTTTAATTCCATCAGTAGATGGTGTAAAGCGAGAGAGACTGTACATTACCTGTTCTAAAATTGACTACAATATCTATTAAAAAAATAGTATCACTTAGGCAGTTGAAGGCAATCCATCGTGTGCTCAGATCATCGTTGAAGAATGATATTGCGACTGGCAGGATAATAAGATTTGCTACTAATAATAAAAGCATGCAAAGGTCCCAGTAAAACCTGTCCAAAATCAACGATAGACGATATATGTATAATAAATGGATATATGATGCATACTTATATAGATCGGGTGGCTTACCTGAATGAACTGCACGGGTGTATTACCCAATGCCCGGAAGTTTTCTGACGTATGCGTTCTTTGACCAATGCCTTGCGGCTGCCAAATAATTTCATGGCCAGACGATTGTCTGTCGGCTGGAACCATGATTGCAATTGACTTTTTAGGAAATTCGCCGAGACTTTTTCCGAGACTATCGGTATGTTGGGCATTGGCTCCTCTTTCGGAGTGCCGTACAACGACACATCATCAAAGTGTACCTGTGCAATTAAAGTCAACAAAGGAAGACCAAATAATCGATGAGTTGTTACCGATTCACAGCCCGGCGGTGCCAGCTGCCTCAATTACTAAAGTCTAAGCGAAATGAGTTATATATATCGTATCTATATGTCATGTAATGCTATATACTAGATGAATGAGTCTCTTATCAAGGCTGCAAACCATTTCGAGCTCGGATTTACTATGAAGCGAAACTTGAAACCAAACCAATTGCCTGAATCGAGACTCGAACCGAAACGATATTGGCTTGATTTCATATTCAACACATTTGGGTGCGACTCAGCTCCTAGGCATGCAAAACTTTGGATTCATCTTAAAATAGATGCCAATTTTGGTTGGGCATTCAAATTTAGCCCGAAACTTCTCTTTGGCAGTCAGTCGAGGGGCCAGTTATAAATTTAAATAGTTCCTTTGGTTCGTTAAAAAGGTTTATGACCAACCAAGGTTTGAAACCAAATCTGGCTGCACGAAGGTGTAAAACCAGGCTGACGATCCCAGCCTCACGACAGGCAACCGGTACGAACCGTTTAGCCGAACCACTGAGAATTCTGTTTAGGTTGGATTTGCAGCCCTGGTACCTGTGCTACATGTACAAATAAAACCTTTGCTCTTGCCATTTCGGTTCCTTGGTCGCATATTAGCAGCGCCTCATCATCAAAAGCGGTGACCAGGGAGTCGGTGCAGGTGTTCTCAAATGAAATGCGCAAGTCGTTCTCATTCACATTCAATACGGAGCAATATGAGCAGCGCACCGATTCTTCGCTATCGCCGTTCAGCAGGCTGTGAACAAAATGAAAGAAAAAAAAACGGTTTGCAAATTAATAAATAAATATTCTATTTATGAGAGCAGATACCCATCGAGATATCTGTAGATATATTGTTACAAGTACACGCCTAAGGTTAGCCAGTGAAAGTTTACGCTTATGTTTAATGCCGGTTTAGCATTGTTTTTTTTTTTCAGTTTAGTTTTTTATAATTCTTATAATTGTTGCACACGCACAATGCACAGTCGCAGCTGCAGTGGGGTTTGCTGTGGCAGCATCCAGTTCTCACCTTGAATTCGGTGATTGTCAAGGTCTTTCCCGACGCCGTCTCCGTCTCCGTCTCTGTCTCCGTCTCCGTCGTTGCCGTCTCCGTTGCCCGTTGCGGAAATGTTGCCCTATTGGCACACGAAATCGCGTGGTCTGTGTGCGCTCTGCTGTGATGGATGTCTATTGTTTGGTAAAGTAGACGCGTGCACTGTGCTGTTCAGTTACTTTTTTTTTTTTTTTTTTATATACATTTATTTTTATTTCAATTTTTTTTCCCTAATTTTCTGTTTGTTGATCTGTTCACCGTTCACACTCAATTGAGTGTAGTTTTTAAATGGGAAAGCTTCGTTTTAATTAAGCCTGTTGAAGCTGATTTAATTTAATCATCGCTCGCATTAGCCTAATGAATTTATTACGAACGAATATTATGGTTGTTGTTATTATTATGAAGTATTATTAGTTCCTTCGAAACGGCAGGCACTGTAAAAATAGCTACGCCACAAATCGACGCCGTGCACTAAACAACAAAGCAACAATTCTATTTCTATATATATATATATATATATATATATATACATGTATTTGTATACATTGCCTATCGGATAACTGTTATCCAGTATATATATACATTATATATATGTATGGATATATTTCTGTTATGTTATTGCTGAAGTGTGCAGTTTGGGAATCGGCTTTGATTACGTTTCTTGATTTGTGGTTTGGGTTAATTTGTTTATTGAAACGCGAAACGTGTTGAAGCAGCTGTTTTCTCTGATTTGACGACCGTAACTGAATGTTATCGTTTTTCGCGGCTGTTACATATACACACATACGTAGTTCCCGCTCTACATATACCGTAATTTATCACAATTCAGTTATTACAAGCCCGCTAACCGAGCGCAACTAAGTCGCGGCGGCAACAGAAATGCGCGGCCGCCACCAAGCGCCGCCGGCAAACACTCCGAACAAGCGGCCGTTTCTCGAATATCGAATCCGAATACCGAACACTGAACACCGAACACCGAACACGACGAGCGCGAATCCGATTCGGCATCGAAAACTTCGTTTGTTCGTTCGTTAATTTCGGCTGCTTTCGTCGTGTGCGTCCTCCAGTCGGTTTGTTTTGTTTGATTCGACGATTGTTTGTTTATTTGTATGTTATTTTGTTTATTTGTTTGTTTGTTTGTTTGCAGGCCTTACCTCGACTTTCAATTTGTGGCAATCGATTTAAGTGCGGCGCGTCCAGTGCTGCTCAGCATCGGAATTTCCGAAAAGGGTATTTGGCGCCTAATTAAATAATTGATCGACTGACACAAACGAACAATTTTCTGCTTCTTATTGTTGTTGCTGTTGTTGTTGTTTATTTTGTTACATTGCGCTGATCGTTTCAATTTCGAATTTTTTCTTTATTCTTATTTATTTTTTGCTTTGTAAGTTATTTTGCCCAGAACTTGATAACCTGTTCTGATGCTCTCGCGATTGCTGGTTGCACAATAAATAAATAGAAACAACATTTGTTGCGTTGCGTTGCCTTTTAATTGATTTTGCGACGAGCAGCGTCGCAAATTATAGCTCGACTATAATTTGTAGCTGTTCTTCAAAAATTTACGCCAATAAAAGCACAAAAAACAAACAAACAAAAAAATCGAAAACTATAAACAACCGAACGGAAATTATCTCTAGATTTTATGTAAATGAATTGGTCTAACGGGTTGCCCTAGCCCCCAGCCGGGAGGCTAACAACAACGACACGGATCATCTAGATGGAAAGAGAGTGGAGACGGCGACGGGCGACGGGTTCCGACATTGTTTTCTCAAGTGACAATCTAGTGCAATAAATTATAGATTTTTTTTCATAGACAATCGACGCGACTGGAGTCAGTCGGGGAAAAGCAAATAATTATGATAATGGCGCAAAACACAATCGCGAACGCAAACACAATCAAATAACAATCAATTCCCAATATCAATTTCACGGTCACACTTTTTCACTGGACGATCGCGTGATTGATCAGCTGCTGATTGGTCCTGTTCCTGATTCCTGATTGATCAGTTAGTTAGTTAGCTTGTTCCTGCACGGTGTCAGCCACGTTTATTCCGATTGGGAGATTTTCTTATTTGTGGAACGAAGTTCACTGCTCGCGGCTTAGAAGCTCATTACGCGGCCAGTGCCTGGCCAGTGTAGATCCCAGACTCAGACTCAGACTCAGACTCAGACAGAGACAGAGACTCGCAGCCAGACGCTGGCGATGCCGATGGCATTATGCAAATGTGGCTCGATAAGCGGCTAACAAAAACCGGTAAAAAGACATGAGACGCGCATTTAACGACGACTACAACAACAACAAGAGCGACTAGAAGATGCCCTGTATACGCCTTAAATAGCCTTCAGTTTGAAGTGTAGAGTTGGAAGGTATCCAAAAATTATTTTAGATCCGGCGTACTATACGAAAACCTACGTACATCATAAATTTGGTGTCTCTAGCTCTCATAATTCTCGAGATATGATTAAAAATCTCTAACTTGTATATCGATACTTATCGATATGTAAAACAATATCGATTGGAAGGTTAGACAGACAGACGGACATGGCTAGATGGACTCGACTGATCAGACTGGAAGATTAGACAGACAGTTGGACATGTCTAGATGGACTCGGCTGATCAGACTGGGAGATAGCTAGAAAGGGTGGACAGACAGACGGACATGGCTAAATGTACTCGTAATATATACCCTATGTAATAGCAGATGACCCCATCTATTTGTTACATACAATTTCACAAAACCATAATATCCTCTCACATATTCATTGGGTACAGGGTATAACCACAAAGACGACGACTTTGCATGCGTAATTCGCAGCAGCAATTGGAGCGTCGCTCGGCCAAGACATTGTAACCGGGCAACCGGGTTGACAGCTCAACTGGTTAATGTGGTTGATAAGAATTGGTAAATGTAATGTGAGAATACTCACCGCTCGCTGAGCTTGCTCTTGTGCCGGCGTATGTGCCGCCGATTGAAGCTGTTGGTGCACGACGTGGACGTGGGCCGTGCCGGCGGATGGTGTACACCGAAATTGTGCTGGAGCTGCAGCGATTTGAGTGTGGCCGGCGCCGTGGACGCCTGACCGGCAACGCCGCCGCCGCCAAGACTGCGCGTGTGTCCGTGCAGATGTCCGTGTCCCAGCGGTACTCCGGCGCTGGCTACTGTGATCGTGGACTCGCCGACCGGCTCATGGGCCGCCTCCGAGCCTTGCTGGGAGCCGTTGCTGGACGAGTGATGTGTGTAGTCTGTCGGCGCGCTCAGCTGGCGATTGAACTCGGCCTTGCGTCGCGTCAGATCCGTCAGGCAGTACTTGTTCAGATGGCCGTTGCTCGAGACGGAGCTCTTGGGCGATTGCGTGCTGTAGGCGCCGTGTCCGTGTCCGTGACCCTGTCCGTGGGCATGTAGCTTGTGGCAGGAGTTGCTGCTGACGCTTAGCTTGTTGCCGGCGCTCTGCAGCAGATTGTTGCAGTTCTTGCCGCTGATCTTGGCCGCCAGCGAGTGCGGCACCGGCGGACTCTTGCCCGTTGTCGGTATCGTGTTGCTGCCCCCCCGATACTCCTTGTCGTCGCTCTCGCTGCGCACCGATGCTCGATATGCGGGAAAGGTCTTCGTCTTGCCCTTCAGCGATCCGTTCAGCAGCAGCTGCTGTTGTCGTGCCGCAACCGCCGACAAGGCCGGCAGCTGCTGTTGACGTACCGCCGCTGCCGCCGCTGCCGCTGCCGCCGCCGCAGCTGCTGAGGAAGAGGATGGAGCTGAGCAGGTGGCAGCTGGATTGGGCTGTGGCTGCAGCGAGTGCTTCTTCTCGACCAGATACAAGTTCAGATACTTGTCGCCCGGATGCAGCGAATTGTCGGACACGGCGTTCGACTTGGAAATGATCTGACCCTTCTTTTTGGCCGTGCGCGTTTTTAGGGATAAGTTGCGCAACTTCTTGGACTGCTCCTTGATCTTGTTGGTGCGCAGAAACGACGGACTGTTCGCGATGCACTTGAAGATGTACGTCTGATTGACCAGCTGCTGCTTGTCGCTGCCCGTATCGTAGTCGCTGCTCAGATTGAGATTGAGATTGAGATTGGTGAAGTGCGGCTCCGACAGCTGCTGCTCGCTGTAGTGGCTCTTCAGCAGGCCACCGCGGCCGGAAGCTCCAATGCCGCCGCCAGCTGCTGACGCCTGATCCTGCTCCTGCTCGGACGCTGGTGCTGCACTCAAGCTGCGCGTATACTCGTGACAGGCATCGTACAGAGCCGAGTGGCCGCCAGTGCTGCTGACGCTCTGCGTACCGCAGCTGACCGGACTGTGGCTGTGCGAGGGCGCCGGATCGAGAATGCGCAATCCGCTGCGGCTGTCGCTGGAGTTCTGCTTCGAGATGCCGCTCGATAGACGACTGCTGCTGCGCTGCCGTTGCGCGCGCGGCTCATCAAGCCCCAGCTGGGCCAAGCCAGCGGCGCCTCTCAGCAGCGAGACGCTGTCCCCGTCCCGATCTCTGTCTCTATCTCTGTCTCGATCCCGATCTCTGTCTCTATCACGCTCCCGGTCCGCCGGCTCGCCGCGCCGACTGCGTGCGACTCCGAGTGGGACTCCAAGGCTGCCGCTGCTGCAGCTGTGCTGATCCGCCGCCGGGCTGGGACTGGGACTGTTGCGCACAGAGGTCGATGCCGAGTACTGCGAGTGTATGGGTATGGGCCCAGTCGACGACGCTGAAGCTGCCGCTGCCGCCGCGGAGTTCGTTCCCGCCTGTGCGTAACTGAGGCTGATCAGAGACTGACGCACCAAGTGCTGGTGCGAGTGCGAATGCCGCTGCTGCTGCTGCTGCTGCTGATCGTCGGGGCACAAGTTGTCTCGGCTGGCGCTACAAGAGGCACACACAGGGAGACAGGAATGAGAACCGGCTAAATGATACAGATGGAATGGCGATAGACGCCGGCAAACACACAAATTTATCTATTTGAAATTGGCAAAGAATGTGCAGCGGGATCGGGGTGCGGGGGTGCAGGGTGCGGGTTGCGGGAGATCGGAAAGTTAAACTGGACAGAGGCTACGCTAAAGTGAGCAGGAAACGGTGTGGAAAATACGCCCGGAGAGACACAAACGAATAAACAAAAGAAATTGTTAATTATAAATATTGATTGTGTGAGTCCATGAGGATGGGTAAGGGGTGTGCGGGGGGGGGGGGATGCGGTGGGGCTTGTGAGTTCATCATAAGCGACATATATATATATATATATATATACACATATGATACAATTTAAGCACAAGTATATTTTGTTATATATGTACAATGGACTCGAGCTGGCGACATGCTCATCTGCTTTTGATCGCGCGAAAAATTGAACTAAATTAATGTTTAGAAACACGCATGGCACTCAGATAAAGATACACAGCTACAGATACAACTACAACTATACATATACATGTGTTAAAGGTCTAGGCAAACGTGCACACTGTGCGAATATCAAAGATATATAGCACAAACCGAAGCTCTCACCCCTCACCCCTCAGCCCTCGCCCCTCCGCCAACAAATGCATCGGAGCGGAAGTGCTCTAAATCAAATTTTCATAAAAGCTACCGATAAGATAAGACGGCGACAGATTGCGCCGAACATTAATGTATTATATATATGGCCTAGGGTCTGGGGTCTGGTCCCAGCATGCGTGGATAAAATGCAAATGCTGTGAATAAACGTGGAAGCTATTGATAGAAAGGGAATATAGCCTTATCGGATACTTTAAAAAAAAGCCATAAGAGACAAGAAAAGCTTTTAAATAAATTAATAAGTGCAACAGTCGGGAGTGCCAGACTAGGAGATACTCTGAACCCGGGCTATATATCCAAAATGTGAAATATTCGTAATCTATAGAGTATCTATACTGAGTTAGGCGTATCCAGCTTTTATAATCTTCGAGTTAGACCCAATTTCTATATACCAAGTTATTGATATCTATTTAATCAATTTATATATTCCAAATCTAGTTCTTGTAATCTTAGATTATAATCACAATTTCTATATGCCAAGTATTAAGCTTTTATAATCTTCGAGGATTAAACATGCTCAGGAATTAAACATATTATTGAAAATAAGAAACCAACCCAACTTAGACACGAGTTTTACAACTGCAAAAGATCTACAAGCCATTTTATATGTTAAGTGGAAAGATATTCTTTTCCGGCGCTTAAACAAGAAGGATCCCAGTTGAAATCCTAGACTAATGCATCGATCTAGTCTATTGTCTAGCCAAAACTTTTAATGGGCAGCTTCATTTAAAAGCAGAAACTTTATCATATACTTATATTCCATGCTTATGATAATATTTATAATAATAATAGTAAAATTCATCCAAATCCCAGCTAGATAAATCTATATAGAATAAAGCTAGCTTAATCTGAAAGGCTCAGACTAAAATTAAAAGATTATAGTGAGAGTGGGTAGACTAAATTCTTTTGGATTCCATTTACAGCCAATCTTTTTCAAGGGCAAATTGTAGCCAGTGCACATAGTGCTCAGCACACTGTGCACACTGGACCAAGCGATGCGCTAAAAACGTGAGTTGACTGAGGAAAACTATTCAAAAAAAAAAAAAAAAAAACTAGATCTGTACAAATGAATTTATGCATTGTGCATAATTCTGTAGGCGAACAAAAGAAAGAACAACAATTCAAAAGCTTGCCCAATATTTATATATGCGTAGAACAACGCTTCACATACACAGATACACACACACACTCACACACATGGACGTCTGTATGTTTATTCATTTGTATCTACAAATTGTTGCGGGGGCATTCGAAAGGCTGCTGCGATGGGCTCTGCTTCAGTCGCAATCTCAACTCGTTTGGCACGCAAGCCAAACGGAGCATTTCCATAGCAAAAAAAAGAAGAGCGAACATTTTGATGCGCCAATACAAACATTTGTTTAACATTTCCATTGACAATGCGAGTGCAAATAAGTTAGACTGCTCGAGCCGAAAGTGCCCAACTAGGAGATACCCTAGGCTCAGCTGAGCCTCTTCTTCCCTTTCTTGACTAACTTCGGTGCTTAGAGTCCGATCTCTATGAAATTGTCAGAACCTGAATATGGTCGTTCGTTTTTATACCCTTGCAGAGGGTATTATAATTTTGTCGTGAAATGTGTAACGCATAGAAGGAGACATCTCCGACCCCATAAAGTATATATATTCTTGATCAGTATCAACAGCCGAGTTGATATAGCCATGTCCGTCTGTCCGTCTGTCCGTCTGTCCGTCTGTCCGTCTGTCCGTCTGTCTGTTTCTATGCGAACTAGTCCCTCAGTTTTAAAGCTATCTTTATGAAACTTTGCAGAATTCCCTCTTTCTGTTGCACGCAGCTCATATGTCAAAACCAGCTGGATCGGACCACTATATCATATAGCTGCCATAGGAACGATCGGTCGAAAAGTAGGTTCTTGTATGAAAAATATTTTTGTTTATAAAGTTATCTTGACTAAACTTTGTATTTATTTGTTTTACTACGCTCCCCATATATATGCAAAATCCTATTAAGATCGGGCAACTATATCATATAGCTGCCATAGGAACGATCGGTCGAAAATTAAGTTTTTGTATGGAACATTTTTATGTTTTTCAAGATATCTTGACCAAACTCGGTATTTATTAGTTTTACTAGGCTCCCCATATATATGCAAAATCCTATTAAGATCGGACCACTATATCATATAGCTGCCATAGGAAAGATCGGTCGAAAATTAAGTTTTTGTATAGAAAATTTTTATGTGTTTCAAGATATCTTAACCAAACTCGGTATTTATTAGTTTTACTACGGTCCCCATATATATGCAAAATTCTATTAAGATCGGACAACTATATCATATAGCTGCCATAGGAACGATCAGTCGAAAATTATGCTGTTGTATGGAATTTTTTTGTTTTTCAAGATATCTTGACCAAACTCGGCATTTATTAGTTTTACTATGCTCCCTCCACTTATGCAAAATCTTATTCACATCGGGCAACTATATCATATAGCTGCCATAGGAACGATCGGTCGAAAATTAAGTTGTTGTATGGAAACCTGTTTTGTTTTTCAAGATATCTTAACCATACTCGGCATTAACTATTTTCCCTGTGCTTCTTAGATACGGGCAAAGCACTATGAGCATTTTGAAAAGGTTGGGTCTGCAAGGGTATTAAATCTTCGGTGTGCCGAAGATAGCACTTCTTTCTCGTTTTATTATTGAGAAGGAATGGGGTAGGATTCCAGTTTGACGTATTTATCACTTTAAACTATCTAGTTCTTCTTCTTAAAAAACCATGTCTCAAATTAATATTAATGGATATATTATTAAAATTGAAGGAAACATTGAGAAAAGAACGATAAACTCTATCTACATATGGTATGTGAAAAGATATGATTCAAATTTTCGATCTTTAGATTTGTAATTGCCGGGAAAAACAAGTTCGCACAGTTCCATATCAAGAGTATATACACACTATATGGGATCGGGTATGCCCCCTTCTGTCTGTTACATACATTTTTACAAAACTATTATACCCTCTTTACCCAACTTGCAATGGCTACAGGGTAGCCAGAATCGAGCCGTTGAGCAAACTAAAATCAATTTCACGCAATTAAGCGCTCACGATATACTGCTGCAGTTGCCATGCACCAAATGCAATTATCTGAATTTAAATTTTGAATTTAAAATCGTATTTCTGAAATGCGCAAATATTTGCATTAGCGAAATGGCTGTGCATTTGGCTGCAGCCACACGAAAGCCCTTCACAGATACAGTTGCAGATACAGATACAGATACAGTTGCAGATGCAGATACAGTTGCTGTTGCAGATGCAGATACAGATACAGATACAGTTGTCGCATCGATAGTTAATCCGCTTTCAAGTTCAACTTGAGCTGCGGCTCGAAAACTGAAATCAAAGGGAAAGCATCGCCTCGTTGAGTTTTATTTTTTGCTCTTGTTTCTTTTTTTTATTGTCAATTTGATGTCTTTTCGCATTTGGATTTGGGCTTTGAGCACACGTATTTCGCCGCCAAGTCAAGTGCTGCGGACGACAGAAAATTCGTTATAGTTTGCCCTGCGGCAGCCACAAGCAGCCGCAACATCCGGTTTAAGAGGCAGGTTTAAGAGCAAACAAGAGCAGGCAACAACAATTGCCAACCTTCGCCTGATAATTGTATTGACTGCCGCCTGCTCCAATGTCAACTTTTGGCGCATTGGAGACACATCTCAAGTGGCCCTTCTCACGTTGAGCACGTGCCGGAATCCTCGGGCAATCCGATTTTGACATGGACTGCCCTGACTGCCGGTAACAGTGTTGGCAAATGTCGAAATAAAGTAGCTAAATCAAATATGGAATAACAGCTAATAAAAGCTGAATTAAACTGGCAAGGTGGTGGTGGTCCAGAAGATTAAGGAACTGACTGTGAATTCTAATATTGTATTAGGCTCCATAATTTAATAAATAAAATAGCTAAATCAGTTTAAGACTAGTCAGAATGCCAGGCAACTGTAAGGTTAAGTCCCTGAAAGTCAAATTCAGCTAGAAAATAGCTATGTTGGCAGCACTGTTGCCGGTGATCTTTGACCAGGGAGACACGAGAATTGTACAAATAAAGCTGTCAGGCAGTTCGAGTTGCTTTTTGGCTAGAAAAAAGCTAAATTATCAACACTTGTGGCTGTGATCTATGGCCAGAAAGGCGGGGGAGTTGTCTAAATAAAACTGTCAGAATGTCAGGCAGCTCGAGTCAATTTTCGGCTAGAAAAAAGCTAAATTGCCAACACTTGTGGCTGTGATCTATGGCTAGAAAGACGGGCGAGTTGTTCATATAAAGCTGTTTGGCTGTCCAAATTGCGTTTGGCCGTAACTTTGCGAAGTGCAGCTGGAAAAAAGCTAAGTTGGCAGCATTGTTCGCTTTGATCTATGGCCAGGGCGGGGCGGGAGCTGTCCATATAAAACTGTCAGACTGTCAGGGGCAGTGCGATTCGATTTTCGGCCGTGCTTTTGAGACCCACTTTTAAATACAATATGACTCAATTATTAATTCAAAAGCCAATTGAAGGCATTAAGAGCGTAAAGAAAAAAAAAGCGTAATTGCGCCCGGTCGCTGCGACTGCGGCTGCGACTGCGGCTGCGGCTGCATTCCATTTCGTTTATCGAAATTATATCAATTTCCCTCGGCGGCAAGTGCAATCCCCAACTCGTGTATATATAATATAGTATATCGCATATTATATACAATAAAAGCTATATACTCGCTAGTATACAAATCGAGCGCGTGCCGCTCATGAATTTTTACGTAGAATCCACAGCACACAAATTGATCTGCTCTAATTTTACAAAAATTGTGTAATATACATATATATATATATAAATTATTTCTTTTGCCTTGTACAAAGAAGAAATTGTGCAGCAGCTAATTAAAGTGTAATGTGCTCTGTGGGAATTTAAATTATTCTTCTGCTGGAAAATGCAAATGGAAAATGATAATTTATTATGGAAATCAATTCTTCATGTGATACACGTGTCAATCTCTGTAACAAGCATTATGTCTATATGATATGCTTGAGATGTAATTAAATTTGCGGGGAACGACCTATATAGAATATAATATCATCATTAGATAATCCATTATTGTACCGGATTTTGTGGTACACAAAGGATCAATCTGTACACAATGTGGAATCAGCCCATTGTGCCAACTATATAATGCCATAATTAATAAAGAGTTTTTGGCTATTGCGGCAAAGGTCACCTACTTTGATAATGGAACACGAAGCAAAATAATCGCAATAAAAAAAGATTCATCAGTTTTTTTTTTTGGCTAACAAAAGTCGCTTCAGAGCGCCGAACATTAATTATTGTGAGCGTAATTAGAATTATTGTTCAGAATAAATGAAACTACGTCATGCCAATTCAAAAATAAATGTCGTTGATCTTAAAATTAAATTATAGTCAGATAAAGGTATTGAAAGCAAATATATACATATATATATATATATACATATCTGTATATGATTACCAACGGGTAGAAAGCAAGCTTTAACATGAAATGATGGCTATCTTTGGCAAGCCGAAGATGAAATACCCTTGCAGAATATTGTAAAGCACGAGTTACGTTAAGTTTGATTAGGATATTTTAAAAAACAAAAACAAATTGTAATTAATTTTCGAACGATCATTTCTATATCATCTATATATGATATAGTGGACAGATTCGGTCGATTTCTGCAATAATAAAATGTATCTGGGCCAAGCTTCAAATTGATAAACTAGTTTTCATAGAAACAGACAGACGTGTATAACTATATCGAGTTGGATGCTGTTATTGATCACGAATATATTTTCTTTATGATACAGATAAATCTCCTTCCGTTACATATTTCATACCATAACTAAAAACACCCATTGCAAGGGTATAACAACGAGCAATACATATTTTACATATTGGTTTTTATATCTGGGTCTTACGAGCACATACTATATATGTACATTTACAGGGTTCATTTGCATGGGAACACAAGTATAATACGATATTAAAATGAGATATTAAAATAATAACAATTAGCAGGGCATAAATATGCATTAAAGAAACGATAGGAGGCTAGCAGAGTGCTTTATGCAACTATTGAGTAGATAATTGATTTAGTTAAACGAGAAATATTTTGCTTTATTTTGATTATTTTTCTTAAGTAGCTTGCATTGGGAAAGGGTATAGCAAGTTTAGTAGCAAGTGTTGTGGAACGTTCTGTAGCAAGTACATAGTTAGTACATAATTAAAGAGCAGCAGGAATAGTAGTAGTTGCATTAGTAGTAGTATTAGTTGAAAGGTAGTGGCAGAAAGAGAGAGAGAGAGAGAGGCAATTGGAAATTGGGAGTACCTTCACTGATGGTTTCAGTAGTACGCAAAAATTGGCTTCCACAGCGAAATACGAAACGGAATCGTTTTTTGGAACGAGTATTTCACGCTGATTCTTTCGATTTCGATTTCACTTTGTTTCGTTTTGTTTTCAGATTTGAGGCGAAACTTGTTTCGCTAGCGCTTCTTTTTCTTTCGATTTGTATTTTTGTTTCTTTTTATTTATTTATATTATTTTAAGTTTTGCTCTTTGTCAACTTTTGTACTTTTTAAGCAAGTTTTCTGTAAAAACAACAACAACAATGACAAACATAATTTGAAATGCACACATTGACTTGAAAGAACAACTGAAACTGAAGATCGGTAATAAAAAAAAAGAGAACCAAAAAAAAAGCAAATAAAATAAGCTACAAATCGGATTCCACTTGCCGTCATTTGTGTCATTCATTCTAGCGAATTGCTAAACTCAATTTTAAGTGCAAAACTTTTGCTTGAGCTGAAAATTGAGGTTGTTTAAAACTGAACTAGTTCCATGGAAACCAACTAACTCACACACACAAATAATATGCTTGTATGGGTGCAAGTGTGTGTGTGTGTGTGTGAAAGTACCCACTATGTGCAGCTGTTAACAGTATACAAAAATCTGTAACTAGTTCAATTGGAAACATCGAGTTTCCTACACAAAAAGGCTAACAAAACTGTTTATCTGGCTCTCTGTGTGGGCGGATGTGTGTGTGTGTGTGCGAGCAACAACAATGATGACAGCAAGCCTTTTTATCAATATATAGACACACACACTCACACAAACGGATGGGCAAACACAAATTCATATGCAATGTATGTACAGGGTAAACCGAAATTCGGTCAGTGGTTGAATCATTGAAGTAAAAGCGAAAGCTTCCGCTGCCGCTGAACATGTACATGGCTGACATGCACACACACACACACGCTCACACACACGAGACATGTAATTGAATGACGCCTGTGTGTATGCAACGCTTTTTGCACAATGCTGCGTACAAGTGCACTCAAAGTACTTTGACACTATTTTTCGAACGGCTGCTCTTTGTTGGTTGGCGCCATTGTCGCTGTTGTTGCTATTGTCGCCATTGTTGGACGCTCTTTTGGCTTTTAATCTAGTTTCGTAATTGCATTGACTGAGTGACGGATATGAATGCCCTGTCATGCCCTGCCCTACTACTACCTAAACCTACTCCTGCTGCCAGCTGCCAGCTGCCTGCCCACTGTGTCCTCGTGTGGGCGTTCAATGGACGGAAATCAGTTGCATTGTGCTCGAAAAAGCCAAAAGGAAATAAGCATAATGGGAGCAAATAAGAATATTGAACAAGTGTAACACACACACGCACACACATACATACACTCATGGTCTGAATAATAAATACTGCAGCTTGATATCATTTTATTTGCAAATATGTGAAATATTTTTGCAAATAATATCCTCATGACTTGCATTGTGCTGATAAATTTAATAATGTTTAATACTTGCATATAAAAATCGTAATACTGTTCTTATTATTTTCGCCATGAGTGTAAATTGGCATAAACAGGCTGTGTGTAGTGTACATATGTATATGCATGGACGTGCATACATATGTAATGACAGCTACAAACTGGGCCCCAAAAAGATGTTGTTGAAGCTTGCAAATCGTAACAAACACACACACACATTTATAATGCTAGCAACAGCAGCAATAACAACAACAACAGCAACAACAACAATGCCAACAGTTTAACTTAAGAACAAACAAACGAACGAACACAGCAAACAAACCAAGAGAAAACAACATAAACGAATGGGAATGCTGAAAATGAAACGGAAACGGAAAAACATTCATGTAAATAATTTAAAATGTACACGTGCACATATATGTATGTATGTGTATGTATATGTGTGCTGGTTTGGGCACAGGTGTTTCAGGACGTACCAGTTCCGATACATTATTGATGGACACACTGTTTTCTTTCTTGTTCTTTTTAATATTTGATGAAATGTTGGGATTTAGCTCGCTTAAGGCTATGCACAGCCTCGACCTCGCATTGAAACACCCACACGCACACGCATAACAAATACATGCACACACACATTGATACATGCACGTGTACATTGTGTACTGTATACGATACGTAACGCAACGCCAGTTCACGTAACGTAACATCACGTAACAATCAACAAACAATATGAAAAACAAGATTGAAGACTAAATAATTGCATACCGTTGGTCGTTGGTAAATGTTCCGAATGCTCCAGGACCGCTAACTCGCCGCTGTGTGTGTTTAACGTGCATTTTTTGTTACCACCCAGCACCACCAGCAGCTCCGCATGGGAACGGTAAAATTTGATTTTTGCCGTTAGGTACACAGTTATGCCGTTGCTCCTCCTGCTCCTCCTCCTCGTTGTCGTCGTCGGCAGCGTTGCTCCACTCACAACTTTCGCCTACTAACACACGGACACAGAGGCGCGCGCGCGCTTACACACACACACACACACAAGCACCCAGCTGCTGCTGCTGTTTGATGTTGTATGCTGCTGTTGTTGTTGTTGTTGTTGTTGTTGTTGTTGTTGTTGTTGCTGTTGCTGTTGTTGTTGTTATTGCCATATAGCACAATCCGTAACGCCTGTCGCAATTCTGGGCTTTATCATCGTGTGTGTGTTTGCTGCATACGATAATCGAGCGTGTGTTTGTGTGTGTGTGTGTTTAGTATTTGTGTGTAATCTCTAACACTCTGTCTCTCTCCCTCTCACTTTTGCACTCCCTCCTGTTTCTCTGATTCCGTTACGATGTTTGGAATTAACTAATACAAGTACAAGTACACGACATATAAGGGACACATAAACAAAATAATTGCTTTTCGTTGTCGTTGTTGCTTAACTAAAGTTCTCTCCTCTTCTCTCCCTCGCTCTGAATCTCACTCACAGCAACCGCATGCTGAGCATTTTGTAATCGTTTTTAGTGTTTAGAAGCGGCTTTTTAATGTTTTACTGTTTCACTTGCTTAACACTCTTTGTTCCTTTTTTGTTTTCTTCCTTTGCGATCTGCGTGCTTGTGTGTGTGTGTGCGTTTTGGTGGGTTATAGTTAGAGGTGTGTTAAGTAACGTAGGTTGACTGTCTAAAATATAGTTACTAAAATAGTTAACAGCACTAGTTATATTGCTTATGGGTTGGTTGGGTTTGGTTTTGGTTTCGCTTTCGAGTTGGAGTTGGAGTTTTAGTTGGGCGCTCGCTAAAGTTGAGATTGAGGTTATGTTTAACGTATTTGACTACTAAGTTAATATATTAATACCATATGTTGCTTTATTTTATTTAGGCTCTTATTGACATTGTGTATATACGTACTATATTTTTGTAGATTTAGTATTTTTTCGTGTTATCTTTTGTACTTTGGATTATAGACGTCGTTTTATTCTCTAAGGGTTTCTCTGTGCCGTTATTTAGGTTTCTTGTTTATCTTGCTGGTTTTAGGTGGAGTTTGGTGGCGATGACAGGCGGGGCGGGCGAACTGAAGGATGGTGGGCAGCAGGCGGAGAGCACACACAGTTGTATTATTATTTGATTTCAGGATCGTTTAACATATGTCTAGAATATCACAAAGAACGGCTATATAATAAGATTTCTGTTTAGCATCACTTTTTCTAGGCCACAGAAAAAATTCCTATGAATTTCTAATTGCTAATTTTCTCTTCCACTTTCCTTGTAGTTTCCTGCTCCTGCTTCCTCGTACTCGTCAAATTACTATTTGGTCTTGTGGTCTTCAAAGTTGAACGAACGCAACGAATTGTGCGAATTTGTCTTGTGGAAAGTTGTGACTCAAGTTAAGGCGTTATGGTGTTAACGTTACATTTATGCGTGGTCCGGACCTCGGACCTTAGCTGTAGCCGGAGTCGGGCGGGTCCGGGCGTGCTGTTACGTGGCTTGTGCCGGAGTTACGTCAAGGCGCGCTCGTTGCAGGAAACCCCGCACAGGTAAACATACGTAGGTATATCTCTAAATGTACCCTATAAAATTAGCACAAGCAGCACGCGAGGCAAATTGGAGGCGTGTTTGACAGCGGCGATGCCGGCGGCAGCGATGTCCTTGTCGTCCTGCTGCACGTTTTAGCAACGGCTTCTAATTGCGTGCGTTAATTTGTTGGCTCGAGTTGGAGTTGAAGTCGTTGCGGCTTTATAAAAATAAATCCATATATATTTAGTTGGATTCTATATTAATATATATATCTAATTATATATATATATTTATTGTATATATAGAGAGAGGCAACTACTTGGTAGTTCTGTTAGTCGTTAGGTGCGATTAATGCTACGCTTGATAATATATATATATATTTTAATATATATATGTATATTTAATTTGATTTTGCTACATGAAGAAGACGCTTGTCCTACAAACTACGAGGTTTCCTTTAGCTATAGCTCTAGTTATATTCAGTTATTTATCATTGACTGTTTCAACATCCAGAGATGGACAATTCGCATAACGGCAACTACATATACAACGGTTTTTATATAAGTAGCATATATGTATAGCATATATAAGTATGTATGTATGTCAGTATATAACGTCTCTATATAACTGTATGTATTGTATATATTATAGCACTTTTGTAGCGAGGGTATTTTTTTTTTAATTTTAATTTTTTGCTGTCTTTGTTGTTGTATATTTTTAAAAGTAATTTGTTCTTGCTAAATTTTGTTTAAATATCTTAAATTGATGCGCTTGGGTGTGTGTGTGTGTGTGTGTGTGGAAGTGACTTCTTATAATTTGCTCAATTTCTTTGTTGCAGGTACATAGGTTTTGGTTTTTTTTTTCTTTTATATATTTGCTTAGTTCACTTTTAGGCGTTTCCTGGGCGTTGATTAAATAATGCTGCACTTGGAGTTGAAATCTTTGTTGTAGTTCACTTTGCTCATCGCTTTTCTTTTTGTTGTTGTTGTGTTTTTTTTTTTGCAAACTTTTTCTATTTGATTATGTAATTATGACTTGGTCTCTTATTGGATATTGAACTGCGTTACATGCCATTCTTTTTTTTGCTTTTTCTTTTTCTTTCAGCTGCTGCGGCGAGGTTTGTGGGGGTTTAAATTAGGCGAAAGACTTTTTGACGTGCGTAATTCGTCATCCACAATTCGCACATAGTGGCACACACACATACAAATGCATGTACAAATATGTACGCACATATGTATAAATAAATATGTATGTACATACACAATTAATAGGCGCCACGCTCACACACAAGCACACGCTGCGAAAGTGTAAGTTTTTCGCACGTGTATGTGTGTGTGTGTGTGCGTGTGTCGGTATGTGCGTGTAAATTTATTGAATGAAACGCGAAACGTTAGTTAAATGTTTAACGAAATTCTTTACGCAACACAATTGGGCACCAACAAACACACACACACACACTCACACACACGCACCCAGCGAGAAACCGCAAGCGAATCAAATGGAGAAAAGGGAACAGAAGAAAGTGCACGTTAAATCAATGCTTCTTTTGACCTCTATTACATTTTCGTTCGTCTTCGTTTGCGCCTTCGCTTTTGACGTCTCCTGCTGCTACTACCTGGAACTTTTTCTATTTCTTTTCAATGCCCCCGTGTTACGGCACAGTTGGCAGCGTGTTTTCTTTTCCTTTAACTTATGTATATTTTATGCGATACAAATTTGAGTATTTCTTGTCGCGATTTGCTGTGTTATCACAATGCTGCTTTAACGATGAATTTATTACAATTATTTATGCCTGGGCGCTTATAATATTGCTCACAGCAGCGTTCACTTATTATATGTACTTTCTATTGAAATCTCTTTATATAACGGCTCTGATACTGTTATTCGCTGCTGTGCTGTGCGAACACGACACGAACGAACTCAGCGCGACAAGTGAATCTTCGCCTGGCACTGACGTGCGCCGTGAGCCTGTGAAATTTCGCTGAAAATCGATAAGGACACGGGCAAAGTGCCAGCGCAAATGCAAAAGCAGCGCAAAGTCACCAAACTAAAAAGCACAATACACCGAAAACGAGAGCGCAGCCAGTGAAAGTGCACATGTCCTGGCCTAGTGCTGCAACAGTGGTGGCCAACAAGAAAGTGTAGAGCTCAAACTAGAGAGAGATTCAAATTCTCAGTGCTGTAAATCACATTTGATGAGGTTTTAGGTTGTTGTGATTTGAAAATATAGAAAAAAAATAATTTTCATATTAGAACACATATGTAAGCAATTTTAAAGTTTTTTACACGAACAAAATGGCGGCCAAAATATATCAACAGTATTATAATTATAATAAAAGTATATACCAAATTTAATTTTCTACAAATTGAGCCTAAGGCAGAAATTGTCTTATTTGTTATTATTCACCTGAAGTGTACATGCTACTGCTGACCGCCAGTGTATACGCACTTATAAGCGTCATCTAAGTTAAAGCTGAGAACGCGAGAGTGCGAGTGCGCATTTGTTTGGCAAGCTTTGCTTTTGCTCAAAGTCCTTGCGCTCACACTGGCTGTCATCGGCGTCGTCGTCATACCGTGACGTTTGCTCGGGCAACAACAACAACAACAACAAATACCCGAACGGGACAAGCCGAGCGCACACGAAATTGCGGCGCTTGGCTACCTCCTTTGCTTTTGTGTTTTCGCTGTGAATGAAAGTTCGAAAGCATCAGCTGGTTGGGCTTTAACATATTCTCAATTGTGCTTAACGGCCGACACGCACACACACATACACATACACACACGAGTCGTTGGCGGCAACAACGGCCAAGTAAACAAATACATGTGCACGGGACGGCGTGCACATGTAAGGTCAGAGCAGAGCGCGTCCTTACAGTGCGCGTTAGCAGTATGCACACGCGTACATTTTATTGAACACAATATTGAACAAGGGCAACAAACAATGTTAAAACTATATACAATTGACAGGTAGTCGCAGTCAGCGACTTTGTGGCGCCGGCTGCACTTCTTACGTTAAAGTTACCAAAGAAGTAGGTCCTGGGCAATTTGAGCGAGGGCAGCGCCTGGCACTGGCCGGCAAACCAGCGGCGCGTGTTGCCCTCACTGTCGCGGGCCACAATGCAAATCTCGGCAGTGTTTAGTTTTGCCTCGCCCTGTGGCAACAGCTCGGCAATGGGTATTTGAGCCGTGCGCTGGTTGTAGGCATAGTCAGCCTGGTGCAGCAGCTCGTTGCTGCTGCTGCGTATATATACTTTAAAGTCGGCCACATCCGCTATGGCAGACACAAACCAGCGCAGCGTCAGATTACCTGCCTTATTGCTGCAAGCCAAATGGAGAAAGTTTAATATACGAAGGCTGGAAGCTTTATAATTGTACATACGTTTGGACCTCGCGGAAACGAACATCGGTCAGCTGTTCGTACTCCATGCCGGCATAAAGCGTCAACTCATCTTCTCTGCAGTTTAAATACTCATCATCCAAGTTCAGCAGATACTGATCCTTCGCTAGGCTGGGCGTCTGGCAGAGCACGCTGCTCAGATCAGCGCCAGGTGTTGTCTGCTCCAGCATATAGTGCTTGAGCGGTCTAACATTGCAGCCGCAGTAGAGCGGATTGTCCGCCAACCACACCTGGCTGCCATTGCGCATGGTGGCCACCAGCGGGGCCGGTATATCCTCCAGACTATTGTGCCTCAGGTCAACGTGTCTCAAAGAGTGCGTCTTCACCAGATTGGCAAAGGGCAGATGATACAGTTGATTGTACGACACATCCAGTCTACTCAGATTCTTGGGCAGATCGAAAATATGTTCCTCGGACATTAGATTGGCCAGCTCGTTGTGTGACAGGTCCAACGATTGCAGCGACGTAAAGTTGGATATGACACCGCGACGCAGCTCATTGATTTGATTGTGGGAGACATTCAATTTAAGCAGCTTCTTGGTGCCAAAGGTTATATCATAGGTGAGCACAGGCATTTGGTTGTAGCTCAGATCCAAGTACTTCAGATTGTAGGGTATATACTGATGTGATGGAAAGGTTTTCTTGGTCACAAAACTAATACGATTGTGACTCAAATTGAGCGTCTCCAGACTAAGCAAATCATCCAGCACACCATTCGTCTTATTGTCTAGTTTGGAGAGCGCATTGTACGACAAGTCGAGCGTCCGCAGCGAGGGCAGTCCAATGAATATGTCATTTGGCAGCTGTTGTAGTCCATTCATCGATAGATTCAGTGTGAGCAACTGCAACAGACCCTCGAACGCACGTTTACTATAATAAAATATTACATTTATATGCAGGTGTTTGGACAGAAATTAGTGGAGCACTCACCTAATGTCTGAGACTTGATTGCCGTAGAGATTGAGTTCAAACAAAACTGGCAGCTTGCCAAATGCACTGCGCTCCAATACGCTTATATTGTTGTTCTGCAAGAAAAATATTTATTAAATTAATGGATTTATATAAAAAATAAGAATTAATTAATTTGGAGCAAAATTGCCTTTATGGGCAAAACATATGTTGTTTCAATAAATTATTTGCTTGGTAGGTAATAAGTGAAGAGGTGTTTCCTAATTGGGTGTTAATAGAAGCAGAAGCTTTCGAACATATTGTTAACTGGCAATATTTTATATAATACAATTAGCCATTATTGGCCTTGAGCCAACCAGCTTAATATTTGTATAAAATGCATGCAACGAAAAGTCTTGATTAACCATTAAATTAACCAATCGACAAACCGGTTATAAATTTGCGATATACTAATATGAAAACATGAATTAAATTTTAGCCAAAATAAACAAAAATGGTATTAAAAATAATAATATGAAAACAAGATTTAAACTTTAGCCAACATAAATAAAAATGGTATTAAAAATAGTTGATCTATTAGAAAAGAGTGTATCTAAGCTAGTTATGTTTCTTCAACGTTAAGAGTTGATTTAGATTCGATTCAATTTAATTTGGTATTTAAAGAGATTTGTTTACCCTTCCCAAATAGAAATTTTAAGTCCCATACTTACTTCCAAGCGCAGATATTGCAATGTGGACATTACTGCCACCGCCTCCAATGGCGGCTTGCTGATGCCGTTGGCCTGCAGCATGAGTCGCTGCACCACGAGCAAGCCCGTGAAGCTCTGTCCATCCAGGTTATCCCCAATTTGATTATAGCTGAGATCCAAGTAGATTAGTGAATTCATAACAGGCCAAGTGCCCGCCGGTATGGAGCTAATGTTATTATGGCTCAAATATAGTTCGTTCAACGAAATTGGCAGCTGAAACAACTTCTCCAGGCTATTGTTGTTTAAATAGAGCTGCCGCAAACTTGTTAGCTTGGCCAGCGATCCGCGGACTATTGAAACCAGCTTGTTATGGCTCAGATCCATCTCTAACAATGTTGGTAATGTGCCAAATGTAGAAGATCTTATCTCCTGCATGCTATTGTGGCTCAGATTGATGGAGCGCAGCGAGAAGAGTGTTTGAAAAACGCCATTGAATATTACGGATATGTTGTTATACGACACATCGATAGTATGCAGCTCATACAGTTTGGGGAAACAATGTTTGGGTATTTCAGTGATGTTATTGTGTGAAGCGTTCAGCACGCGCAGCCCAGACATGTTCTGAAGGGGTACCTGAAATGCAAAAGCTGTTATTAATAATAATATTTGTAGTAACTTAGTAACTAACATGTGCCAGATTAGTTAGACCATTATAGCTAAGTTGAAACTCGGAGGCGAAGGTCGTCTCGTCGAAGCTGCGACGCGAAAAGTTGACGAGACGGTTATGGGACAGATCTAGAATTGTAATATTAACGCAGTTCTCAAAGGCAGCAGTCTCAATTAACTCCAAGGCATTGTGAGATACATTGATAACGGCCTGGTAAATGTCCTTAAACGAGTTCTTCTCAATTTTAGTTATATTGTTCTCCGCCAAATCCAGCAGCTGCACAGATAAAAAGCTTATTATTCAATGCTTAACAGGTTATTTCCTTTACATACCTCAACATAATTCATTTGCGTGAACATTTGATACTCAATCTTTTTTAGCTTGTTGCGCGCCAGATCAATTGTGCCGATGCGCGCCACAGAACCGAATGTGCCACGTCCCACTTCTGTGATGGCATTGTCGCTTAGGAAGAGGCGGCGCAGGAAACGCATTCCTCGAAAACTATTTGCGTCCAGTTTGCCAATGTTGTTGTGTGACAGATGAAGGACTTTCAGCACCGAGTTCCTGGCAAAGGTGCCACGGCTCAGTTCGTTTAAGGCGTTGTGCGAAACATTGCACCAGCCAAGCTTTGTCAGATCTGCAATATGTTGGGCTTCTAATTTCTTGATTTTATTAAAGCTTATATCCAGCAGTTCCAGTTCGCGCAGATTCTTAAATTGATTCCGTTTAAGGTTCTCCAGCTGATTTCCGTGCAAGTCCAATGTTTTCAACTTGCGCAGCGGCTGGAATGTCTCCACAGGCAAATCACTCAGAAGTCCATTTGTAAGCCGAATCGTTTCGAGCTTGTTGCTGATTTCTTGACCGAAAAACAGATCTTTGGGCAGTTGCTGAAACGCATGCCCATCGATTACCAACTGACGCGTCTTGCCCAATATCTGGGGAGTAAACATCCAATTAAGTCATAATCATCAATAATATGTACTCCACATTCTCTAAAGTGAATATGACAGTTCTCCCTAGTTCTAGTTCTCCCAACTAGGCAATTATCTGCTCGAATACTTACGCCAAATCCCAACTGACCAACTTGACTTAGATTCGTGCGCAGCAAATTAACCTCCTCCAAGGTATTGTTCATGCCATAAAATACATAGTCCTCAATTGTGGCAAGAGGCGTCTCCTCTATGGTCAGCACACGCGCCTTAATGTGGGCGAAAAGCGGTCCGAAGAGCCGCACTAAAATGAATATAAACAAAATATATTGTATAACCTCTGACTAGAAAATCAACAACGCACCAAAGTGTCCTTTATATATTGTCAGCTCCTCCACTGGCAACTCCAGAGACGCTAAGTTCTGCAAGGCCACCGAAAGCGTGGCCAAATTGGTGTTCTCGCAGCGCACAAAAAGTCCAGTATCGCTACCTTTTACGCACAGGCAGGGATATAAGACTTGGGGCCTGTGCATTGGTTAAATAAATATAAATAATATTTAAAAATAAATGCTGCAAAGGCACTCACTTTTTGGGACATTTGAATTCTGGTTCGCCATAAACGTATTCAGTGCTAACCAAAGCGAATAACTGCAGCAGTAAGAAAACAACTGTGCGCAGGCGTAGCTGAATCATGATCCACTTTTAAATTTGTTAATTTGTTAACTTGTTTAACTGGTGGCTCTGTCGTCACCGATTTGATTTGGCCATGGCAAAAGTAAGTTTGTTTCTTAAGTCTATTGTTTTCCCAACGTAATAAAACGGGATTCTGTAGCTACTCCGGTTCAGCGTTTGATCTATATAAAAGCAAAAATGAATTATATTTGTTGCCGTAAACTGTTAATATAATTGGGTTTTTTTACTTCATTTTCTCACTTTTACTTTTAAGCTGCGCTCGCGCAACAGGTTCCGCTTGTCTTTCTCTCTGTTTCGCTACTGGCCATTGGCTTCAGCTGCCTTTGTTGTTAATATGCGTCGAGGCCAGTTGCCAATGCACGGCCCTTTGAACATTTCGTAAATCGAACGGCCTAACATAAAGGAATAATAGGAATATGTAGATTTGCTTAAAGTATTTAACTTAATCATTTTATTATTAGGCAGGCGTATTTACTTAACGACGCGCCACTATACTTTAAACAAGTTGGCAGGGCTGTGGTTGCCACTATGACGATAAGCTTATCGATAAACCAAACATGCAACTCTATTCAGACAGCGACAGCGGTGCAAAAGCAAATCAACGCGCTAAATAAAAAATTATTGTCCGGTTATTAAGTATTTTATTGCACATTTCGAAGCGAAAACGTAGGTATTTCGTGTCGGTCATGTATTTGAATATTTTTCCGTTTTAAAAACGAGCAAAAATTAGGCTTTTGTAAATTGAAGAAAGTGGACATTGTTCACGTTTTGTTCTTTGACGACAGGGAGAAATACTGACTTCGCCCGATTCAACCGCCAGCGCGCAAATAGCCAATGACTGCTCGCACTACTCACACATACACAGACTCGGACTGAAAATCAGTATACGTACACGTCTGTTTGCGTGTGTATTAGTGCCCAGGGAGAACGCGAGTTATTTGCTGCCACCCGTTTTATTGGCGGCAAAAAGTGCGTAATTCCAGTTGGAATACACTAACTAATCAAACCATTTGGTTTATTTAATTAGATTTTTGGAATAAAATGAGTTACGCTGCGGACGTCCTAAATGCTGCCCATCTCGAGCTACACGGCGGTGGCGACGCTGAGCTGCGCCGACCGTTCGACCCAACTGCCCACGACTTGGATGCATCTTTTCGCCTGACACGTTTCGCGGACCTCAAAGGACGTGGCTGCAAAGTGCCACAAGAAGTCCTCTCAAAACTCGTTTCGGCCCTGCAGCAAGACTACTCCGCTCAAGATCAGGAGCCGCAATTTCTTAACGTGGCCATACCCCGCATTGGCATTGGACTCGATTGTGCCGTTATACCACTGCGTCACGGCGGTCTTTGCCTGGTGCAGACCACGGACTTCTTCTATCCGATTGTCGACGATCCCTACATGATGGGCAAAATTGCATGTGCGAATGTGCTCAGCGACTTGTATGCCATGGGCGTAACCGATTGTGACAATATGCTTATGCTGTTGGCCGTAAGCACTAAGATGACGGAAAAGGAGCGCGATGTGGTCATACCACTGATAATGCGAGGCTTCAAGGACTCAGCTCTGGAGGCAGGCACCACCGTGACCGGCGGACAGAGCGTTGTCAATCCATGGTGCACCATTGGCGGCGTTGCCTCGACCATATGCCAGCCCAACGAGTACATAGTGCCGGACAATGCTGTTGTTGGAGACGTTCTAGTGCTGACGAAGCCTTTGGGCACTCAAGTAGCTGTGAATGCGCATCAGTGGATCGACCAGCCTGAACGTTGGAACCGAATCAAACTGGTTGTCTCTGAAGAGGATGTGCGCAAGGCATATCATCGTGCCATGAACTCAATGTCGCGACTGAACCGAGTAGCCGCTCGTCTTATGCACAAGTACAACGCCCATGGAGCAACCGATATAACCGGCTTCGGCCTGTTGGGACATGCACAAACTCTGGCCGCTCACCAAAAGAAGGATGTGTCCTTTGTTATTCACAATCTTCCAGTCATAGCCAAAATGGCGGCTGTGGCCAAGGCCTGTGGCAATATGTTCCAGTTACTGCAGGGGCATTCTGCGGAAACATCGGGAGGCTTGCTCATCTGCTTGCCCAGGGAACAAGCCGCTGCCTATTGCAAAGACATTGAGAAGCAGGAGGGCTACCAGGCCTGGATCATTGGCATTGTGGAGAAGGGCAACAAGACGGCACGCATTATAGATAAACCGCGCGTCATCGAGGTGCCCGCCAAGGATTAGATGTTTTCCCTATGTATAAGTACAGTCATTTTTAAACTGAATGCACGCTCTCAGTTGTAACGCTTTTATGAGTGAACTAAGTTACCGTTTTTTGTAAAGAAAAAGCTTGACTAATTGCATTAACTACAATTTGATCTTTTATAAAAACCCATGGACACTGCTAAGAATAATACGAATAAATAAAAGAACACTTGACTTTTGTCTTGATTAAATACAAAGCACTCGCATTCTATTAAAAATTTAGCCGCCAAAACTAAAAGCTTTTTCGTGAACTGCGCAGCAAAAAAGCTTTGCGTGCGACCAGTTAGAGAGATGGTCGACACCATCAATGGATGCTCTCTGAGCGATTGGTGAGCTGCGAACAACGGGTTCGGTCCACGGTTCATTACGTGACATGCGAGAGAATGACGTCACAGTTTCAGACGTTTGTATATGAACCCCGCTTGCTATGTAAAATTTAACGGACTTTATACTCGAACGAACTTTGGTACTATTACATTTAATGGCTTTTAAAATTTAAATCTCGGTGCAATTAAGTAAATGTTTTTCGGCACTTCAGTTGGAAAGATACATATAATATTAAATTCGACTGTTGAAGATTTTAGAGCGAGAGAGAGAGAGAGAGAGGCGCATGCCAAAACGTAACCTATAGATCAGGCAACTGGGGGTCCGATCTGTTTCGATCGTGCTCTGCTCGTGGCAAGTGCAAAATTGAAGCCACAGTACTGCACAAACCAGCGAGGCGCGTACGCGTATAGAAAGCAAAGCTGTTCCGTTACCGTTACGTTTTGTAGTAGACACACGAATACACACTAACAAATCAAAAACACTCACACACAAACGAATTTCTAAGACTAACGCGCCCGCGCATTGTAGCAATTTTCTTTTGGCTGAACACTGAACCCGCCGCCGTTGCCAGCAATAACCACAACAACAACAACAACAACTACAACTGCAGCAACAATTACGGGACAACAGTCTGCACCAATCATTTTGGGTTTTGGAAAAGTGCACAGTGAGTGCTGGTGAATGACATAGTGAGATTGCATGAATGTTTGTACCGAATGTATGTAAGAGTGTGTGTGTGTGTGCGTGTGTGTGTATCTATGGAATCTAGCTATCTCTTGAACTGGCAGACAAGCTTAAACAACAAACTGATGACGGCGACAAACGCACATAGAAACGAGTTTTAGTTTTCCCTACGTATCCACTGATACTCATTTGTATGGGTAGACGTATCTTTTAGCTTGTGGTAGCTGTATCTATTGTGTGTATGCGCTCCACACTCGTGATTGGGGCAGCAAAGAGAAATTCAAATTGTGTTCAATAAAAATACGCATTGAATTGCATCCGCATCCTCTGGCTAACCCGTTACCTATGTACATATGTATGTATTTATATATCCCTTGCGATGATTCATTTGCGGGGCGCACTCGTTTTATATTTTGAATCAAGAGCAACAAAAACAGTATTTCGAATTGAAAGCCAAAAGAACAGTGGCAGTGAACTATTTATAGAATTATTTGTTTTCATACATAAATATGTACATACGTATGTACATACGTACAAACCAACAACAAATTGTACAGCAAAAGACGAAAGTCGGCAATGAAGGCGACGACAACGTAGCCTATTCATTTTCATTGTATGCTGGTCAGTCGTAAATTCAGCCAAAAAAAAAAAAAAACAAAAAATAGAAGAATAAGAAGAATTATAACGAAATAACGAGCATCTTTGCGTAGTATATTCAGACGTAAAATTTTAATTTAAATTAGCCAAGTTCAAACGGTGTCTACAGCTTGTTTATGCTACATATATACATACATACATATATATATATAAATGTATATATATGTATTTGTGTATTGACTAGATTGAACTGTGCTCTACTGCGTAGGTGGCAGAGGAGGCGGCAGCGGCGTCACCAGCGCCACACAAATTGGCAACCCAGCACAGGCGCTAGAATACACATGCATACATACACACACTCACACATGCATATGTTTTACGCCTTTTCGCCTACGTTTTCAATTTGATTTTCGGAAATTTGAACAACAACACCTTAGCTCTGCTCTTTTCGGCCAGTTCAAGCTTGTTCGTTTGCTATTTTGTTTATTTTATGTTTGCTTGTTCTTACATACAGTTATATATAAACACATGTATGCATGCCATGTATAAGTGTGTACGTATGTATATACATACATATGTAGATCTTGGCCGCTGGCATTTTGCGAGTCGCTGCTTCCCCCGGCCCCGCCTTTACGTCACGCCCACTCCAATGCCAGACACCAGCAGTAGCAGCAGCAGCGGCAGCAACATGTTCCCACTTTTTGTCTCTCGTTCCGATTATATGAGATCATTTTGAACTGTACAACAACAACAGCAGTATGCAAAAACAAACACACGCATCACACGCTTTAACTTGCGCTCTCAGTGACCAGTTTTGTTATTGCTTTGAAAAAAATACACTTTTTTTTTCATTTTGAAATTTACCCCATAGCGCCACTAAAAAACGTGCTGTGTGTGATCCAAGCGTCAATTAGATTTAGCCTTTATATTATGATGTTTTTTTTTATGTGTGCACATATTTTGCTTACGTTAGCTGCTTGATTAGCTAAACTCTTGACCATATGGTGGCGCGCAGAACATCACGAGTATTTCGCCCAAGCAACTAGCTACTCTTTGGATTTGATTTGATTTGATTTGAGTTTGATTTGTCGTGATTTATTTTAGTTACGTGAACGTATATGCAAGTCAGTCGAATATTTGTTTATGACGCGAATGATGTCATCTTCGCTCATCCTTGTGTTTGCCATACGAATCTTTTGCATCTGTTATTCTCTCACATGCGCCTCATACAAAGTCATTCATTGAAATCTCACTCAAGGTTATCGCTAAATCACTAAAAAATAAATAAAACTCATCAACTCAGTAGTCAGACAGCGAGCGCATATACAGGTTTGTGGGGGATTGTTGTGATCTGACGAAAAAGGAACTAAGGACACGTTAAAAGTGAAAACCAGTTTGACATTGACTTTGCTGCAGCTTATGCATATCTCTGTATGTGTGTATTGTATGTGTGTTGTCAGTTCTGAAAATCAATGCCATTATATTTTTGCGAACGTGACGTCATAAAGCTGCGTGGCCTTGGTTTTAAAGCGTCGGACCCGGTCGCCGGTTCAAATTAAGTCTCAATTTTTGACTGCCTAAAGCTGGCGCGTTTTCGACCCGTGCATTGCCGGGTAA